CTGTATGTTACATTAAGTATCGGAACATGTTTTACAAGAATTTTACTTTAACATTCGATTAGTAAACTGTCACTGCTGTTAAGTCAATTAATCGTGGAGTTAATAGAGCAGGTTTGCTTAACGCTTCCTAAACCCGTGTCCCTTATTAGCAGGGACGAACGCTCGGTTGTCTATTCCCTGTCTACCGTACAAAACCGATCGTGATTGTCCTAGCTCCGAGATTATCGTAAAAGTCCACCGAGCCGATTACTATGGCCAAGGCAGAGGAGCGGGCGTGAAGTTTCGATCGTGTGGTCTCGAACCGGTCCGTGGGTGTCTGCGCGTCAGGTAACCGATGCAGTAAAATGAAATTACAAGAGAGAGGCAGGGAGAGGGGAAGAGAGAACGTTGTTCGCCTTTATGTTCTCGTTAACGGTACCGGATTTGCCTCTAATTTAAAATCTCGCGGTGAAAGCTTGAAAAAGTGGATGGAAAAAAATAGAAACGAAGAGAGATAGAAAGCCCAAAAGAGCTTCCAATCCGATTATACCCGGGCCACAAGAGCAGTTAAGTGATTTAGAAGGGCGTTAGTGCCACGAGAAATTTTCGACGATTATTCCACGTTGAAATGTTAAACGTAGAGTTCATAAAATAAAATATTCCAAAGGGTCTCGACCCTTCATCCCCCAAGAATGCATCTCTCCAGATGTGTTTTTCGATGGAATACATGTCACATTTGATAATGCTGAAATTTTCTATCATCGCAACATCGGTCGACGCTGGGAGAGAAAGAAGAAAAGGCATTCGAGTAGACACTGATTCACCCAGCCAGGACGTTCGTGATGAACATAGCGGGGCCCCGATAATCGCTCGCGTGTCACGAAGGCGCGAAGGACGTACCAGAGATACAAGCTCGATACGGTGTACTACAGGCTGATCGTCTCGATAAGGTAATTACTAAATGCTAATATACAGAACTGCGTGGTATTTGTTCTTTGCACATACCACACCGGGCATCGCGTCTTCGTTTTGGAATTCTAAAAGATTTTTTTCCGGGACCTCGATACGCGAACAGCATCGATTCGGTGTTCTTTTGAAGCACAATTCCTACACAGTCCATCCCTAAGTTCTCGATATCAAAGTTTCTCGCGAACTGGTTCCGTCGACCATAAAACGTACCTCATTGTTGGACGCTATCCTCACCCTAAGGACATTAAATATTACACGCGTAGCGAACTTTAAATTAAACGTCGGTTTAAGCCTGGCCAGATTAGCCACCACGCAATGCATAAATACGGTGCACGGGCAGCGGTGCCTCGGTCCCAATGTAACGCTGGGACTTACGAGCGCCGTGTGTCCCGAAACACGTTCCTTATCGTTTCGGTATCTCGTGCAATGCCGATGTTACAAGTTCGTATCGAGTGTCATTAAGTGTGATTATATTACCCCGCCCGTTCACGTGTACTCGAAAAAGGATGGAAGGGAGGAGGGATAAGAGAGAGAAAGAGAGAGAGAGAGAGCCGAACGGACAGAAGGAAGAGGCTTCGTGCAACGCTGCCAGGAAGGGGTGGGGGAGCAGAGAAGCCGCTTTTACGTCGATACGTAATTTATTGCCATATCCGATATTAAAGTATCGTGAATAAGACGAAGGGATTGGCAGAAGGTTTACCTGCGAGTCCTTTCCTTTCTTCTGAACCACGAGGACGCCGCAGCGTGCCGCGTGTGGGTGTCCCCTCTGTTCCCCTCGATACTCGTTCGTTTCTATCGGTGTTGGGCGAAATTCTTATCTGTACACGAATTTCGAATTGCCAATAAAGGATAACAGGTGGAGTTCTTGTTAATTATTTCACTTGAAGGAAATATCAGCGGGTAAATTGACAAGTTCGTTTGGAAACCTGAAGAGGAACCCGTGAATTCTAATTGGAAGAAAAGAATAGCGGTCGCACCGTATAATTTTTATATTCGTGTACGTAAAAAATGGATCGAATCTCCATTCTAGGCGTCATTGTTCGTTTAAAGTGGACGAAAATAATTGGAGCGAGGGTATTATACATATGTCTGACGATGTAGTCGTTTTTTAAGGAGGTTCGAGGAAGAGGGGAATACGAGGCGTGGATAAAACTAAAAATTATAGTACTCCCTCGTTTCCTGGCGCCACGAGCGAACCCAGTTTCGCCCTGGAACGCACACTCATCTTTCCTTGGCCCATGGTAAAACTAACAAACCGGTGGCCGGGATCGTCCCTGTAATTTTTTAATTACAAAGCCGCGTCTCCTCGGTTGCTCAGGTCCGGTGACTTGCAACCGGTGTCTAGAATCCGCTCCCTAATTTTTAATAACACCTAGCACCGGGGAGATCCGGTAATAAGTTTGTAGGCGGTTCTCGGAGCGTTTCGTGGCAGGGGCGGAAAAAACAAAGGCCAGAACCAGAAGGGAAAAGAACCGGTAGAGAGCGTGCGTACCGGAAAACATGTTGGTGGCGTCGAATTATAGCCCATTTTGTGGCGAACGTGAAATTGTTGCCTGCTGAATCGAGAAATAATTGCTCGTTCGACGAAATTGTTAAGGAAAGTGTAGAATTTGTTCGCTGCAACGTGCTGTTGTAATTCTAAAATGCGACTATGTATTACATGGCTGTAGTGGGTGGTCAAACGATTAATTTATGTTAAAGTATATTAGATTATTAATAGAGTATCCCTAACACATGCTTTTATAATTAAAAATTTATTCGAGAAAAAATATGTCACATGTTTCTAGAAAACTCCATTTCGCAAATAATTGTGCACGTTACTCTCCATCAGATATTTTTCGCTCAAAGCACCCGCGCCTCGAATAATTTGATCAACGACTGGGGATCGAAACGAACGAGGAGACCTATTCATCCGAGGCGATTCGAAGAAACAGTTAAAAAAGTTGAAACCGGAGCAAGACGTCCGACGGTTCTTCAAATCAACGTCGCGGCAAAAGGGTAGAACAGCGACAGCCGGTCGAGCAATACGCGGGGCTTTATTATGCGCGCGATCCGCGCGCGTTCTAACCGAGGCTTATGAATAAATATCGTGATTTCCGTCGGCGGAGAAGATCGAAACCCAAACCTAGCATCGACGGCGCAGCAACAGAACGGATCGATAAAAATTCGTCTCGTATAGGCAGCGGCCATAAATATTCCAATAAAGGTCGACCGTGCGTCGTCGAGCCGCCTTGAGAACGTTTCGTCTCTGTCCCTATATTCAGTGCTCGACGATGACCTACCCGGTTATATCGCGCGGAACGCGATAAAAATTTTCCGAGGTATTTTTTTCGCCATCCACTTGTTCCCGCCTGTTCGCGATGACGTTTCGCGACCGAGTCCAGGACGACCGTGCCACATTTCGTTTCTGTTTCGCATCGAGGAAACTGCATCGATTGACCCTCCATCGGGTGAAGAGCATACGAATATCAATCCATGCACGATGTCGATGATTTTGGAGTTGGGATAGCAATTGTAGAAGAACAATGTGTTTGAATAGCGCTTGAATGGCACTTCGGTTCGATCGGAAAAAATAAGAAGATAGGTCTGTAACGCGCCATTATCGACATATAGAAACGCAAACGTTGAACCATTAAGCACTATTTCACATTATCGATATAAACGCGCGCTTCGGGCCATAAATATGCTCGCGTTACGATAAAATTATCCACGTAAGCGTGAAACGTCACACGAAAGGATCGAAAACTCCATCCCCCCGACGACACGGTTCGTCGAACGAAACAACGATTACGCAACGTAGAAATCGCTTTGAAAATCAATTTACGATCGCAGTCGAATCGTTCGGCCGTCCCATTCAATTTAAATATTTAACGGAAGAGAATAATAACGGTCCATTATTCGTCGACGATGCTGCGCGCGCGGCTGTGCCCTATCGGCAAGTATTATTAATGTTACCATTTACCATCGCTGTTGGCGCAATTGTCATCACGCCAGACAGTACACGGCACTAATTACCATCACGGCAGCCTATTGTTCCACTTAAAGCTGATTGTTATCGTTACGCAAATTGCAGCCATTGGTGGTGTGCGTCAATAATGATTTCGCACCGATATCAATTCCGACGCCGATACGCGGGGAACGTTGCCACGGCCAATAGAAATGTTTCTTATTGTTAACGACATTCCGATCGTTAATAAGCGAAGCGGGAATGCTTCTCCATTGGGAACGGACAGCGAATAAATGACCGGCTACGTAATCGGACAAAATAATCACCGGGTAATGTTTTTGATAGATTGGCGTGATCGATCGGGTTCGTTGTGCACCGCGTTCTGGAACGAATGAAAATTTTCCAATGACAATATTTATCTAGCGTAATTGCAATTGTTTCCCTACCATTTCTTCTTTGGAGTTATTCTGGTAAACATGACGTTCCAATTAATTCGACGAAGCGAGTAAATATCATCGTATACTTTCGCGCAACAAAATTTGTAGATTTGTATTTAAATTTGAATTTAGTTGTAAGAAGTAGGGTTTGCTTTGAAGAAAGTGTAGATGGATTGGTGTTGTTTTTAAGTACGATTACATAATGGAAGAGGTTTAGAAAGAGATGTGGAAAACTCTTGGGAAGGACGCGTCCGTGGCGAACGTCGCAACGCGAGTGGACGCTTTCTGGCTCGGACAGCGTCTTTTATTAGCCGCTAAGGCGTCGCGACGCCCTGGTTGCAGAAAATTCCGCGAGATGGGGACGCCCGTAAAGCTGACAAGCACGAAACAGAGGGCGGAATGAACCAACGACACCGAGACGTCGCGACGCTTGGGGAATACTTTGCATCACTTCTAATCGTTTTGGAGTACCCACATTCACTATTCATAAATAAATATATATACTATGATATTGTAACTCGCAATACCTCGTATATTCAAATAACATATCTATTCCATTACCTATGATCTACTAACAGTGGATCTATCACTTTTTTAATAAATAATACGTAAAGGATCTATTTTTACGTCTAAGCACTATGAGAAAAAATACGTGATAGAAAACTCACCAGAAAATCTTCCTTTCGATCGGAGCGTCGCGAAGACACCCCGTTCCTCGTCGTCCGCGTCTACGCAACAGAAATATTGGCTCGTGTTTTAAAATATCCCATGCATCGTAATATATAATGCTTAACATACTTCAAGAATATACATATTCGATTACGTATTCGCGTCGACTCCAGTTTGATATTCTACGTAAAAAGCTGACAGACGTATTTATTCATTAAAATCCGACAACTCGCTTGCTAATTTAGCAATATGCATTTACCGATACATTTACGGATAGGTAACAAATATTAAATGAATAAAAGATATGTATCGCGAGACGGAGTAACCCGAATATAGTCCTTCGAAAAATAAATCATCCGAACGATTCAACGCATCAATTGTCTCATCGGGGTACCATTTTGATGCGTCGCGAAGACAACCCCGTTCCTCGTCCACGGAAAAGAAGTATCGACTCGTGTCTTAACGTACACCTCGTATGGCTGCCGAATGCATCTAGGCTGTCGTCATGGGAATATAAAAGGGAGCTGCAACGATAGACAGATAACGGGAGAAGGACAGAGGCAGGCGGAGGGTGAACCGTAGGACGAGGGTAACAAGGGACCGAGGTGGGTGGTAGGGTGGGTACAAAGGAAAGAAAGATCGAAGGAGATGCTTGTCACCTCCTACACCTTGCACGTTCGTGCGAGTCCTACACGCTTTTCCATTCTACATACGCCTCCTTTTCTGCATCCCTCTCAGGCTCCATTCGCTCCACCCCGTTCCACCCTCCGTCTTCCACGGCGTATTCTCACCCGACGATAACCGTCCACCCTCTACATGCAGGATAGACAGAAGGAGAGGAAGCGAGGGGATCGTACCCGTCGGAGAAAAAGGTGGCCAAGGAACCCTGGGTGGTGGGGATGTGCTTGCTTCGAGCATAGCTAACTAGCTGAATCTGAATCAATACTTACTTCCTCCCCCGACCGTCTCCCATCTTATTCTCTCCTGTTAGTCTGCTCCTTCCTCCCCCTACCTCTCGGCTACCCCTGGGGTCGTCATTTTTAGCGAAAGGACTTTCGGGATACCCTCCTGCACATACCTCTCGCCCCCCGTTTCCGTTCCCACCCCCGCTCGCCCGTTACTCTCCGCGTTACTGTCTTTCCGTCTCTCCTTATTCACCCCCAACCCCCTTCGCCATCAGCCCTTCCTTATCGACGTCCTTCCCTTTGCGAGTCGCATTTTTCGATCGTCGCGACGTTTGATCAGCCGAATTCACGCTTCCGCGATCCTCCCATCTCATCCCAGATTTCGTTTGCAAGACTCTCGCGAGTAGGTATCTTCGAGCCCGTCGAGCGGAAGATCGGATCGTTCGACTCCGTGGAGGGCGCACAGGCTAAATTTTTGATTGCCACGGTTTTTTTTTTCTCGGGGGCTGGCTGATAACGAGAGGATATTTCAATCTCTCGTGCTCGGTAACGATCGCCTAACGAGGGAAGAAACTGGAGGAATACTTTGTTCAATTTGTTAGGTGGTTCAACGATATACGTATGTACAATAAATATTCGTACCTTCTATGTCTATCGAAAAAGTTTGACTAAGTTAAATAACAGTTTTGGTAATACCAAATGAATATTATCAAGGAAAGTTGCACAGGAAGCCTGTACGAAAATTCTGTAAAACACGACGGCTACCCTTATTTAATAAATTAGTAAATATTCGTGGCTGTTTCCGTCGCGAATAGATTGTTTCGTTATTCGTTCAAACTGTGTGTTTTGGAGGGAAATTTGCATAAACGAATGAGTACCAAGGCACGAAAAGAATAGACCCGAGGCAGTCGAGGTTTTAGTCTACCTACTTTAAAATTCGAGTCTCCTCCTGTGGCATCACGATCTACTGACTGCCGCGACTCGAGGGCCGATTCGAGGGGTTGTTTCCCCCTGCCAACCTACGGGCATACCCTCCAAGGTTTTACGACACCGTTCCACCGCAAGGCTCTAAAACACGGAGCTTATCTCTTAAGTAAAAAGTACAGGAAATCCTAGCTTCACGCAGATTTCTCTTCTCACGGCCGAACTAAACCTAATAAGTACAAACTATTCCTGAAGAATCGAGTGCATCGTAAAAACTAGAATCGTATTCTAAAACCTATATTTCCATCTCTATCGTACATACTTACAATTACAAATTTATTTCGAAACGTGAAGCATTCATTTAAATTAGACTTTATTCAATAAATATAGAGGGTACAAATACTTATGGGACTGACTGTATATAATTTTACCACAATTTCTCTACATTGTATCTGGTCCAAGGGAGTGTCAAGCATTCTCGAGCTAGGTGATGCTGACTCTAGCGACAGCACTGATTCCACCACCATGGCGTCTCCTTTCTCTCGCCGAAATGTTCGAAACGGCGGGGGCCTCGCGGATATTATAATTCCCTGGGTGGCCGCGGGCTAATTGTGTTGCGTGGGTGTGAATATGGTTTATAGTTCGGCGGAAAAGCTGGCCGCGGGCCAGGCAAACGAGCTCACGTGACGTCACGCGACGGAAATACCCGAGCGGGCTAATTAGGCGAGGCACCTCTCCTCTTACGCTCGAATGCAAGCGGAACTCATGCGTCGCGACGTTTCTGCAACGCCGTGGCTGGAGATGCGTGGCACGTTCGACTCGCGTGCGCTCGCAGGGGATCGTCAGTGCTGCGGGACAGGGGATGAAGGGAACAGGTAGCGGGGAGGATGTCGTTTCATGGCAGGAAATTCGAGATGAGACAATTTTTCCGTTTTCTTGAGAAAATTCGGAGTAGTCGAACGAAAATGGTTCTATGGACTTTAGAAATCAATTTTGGGGGGGGGGGGGGCGGGGGGTTGTATTCAGGTGGACTTTGTAAAAGGAGCTAATTGTTACGTACTAATTACGTTCGTCTACTTTGGATTTATTTAATTTCTTTCTTTCAGGTGTGACGTTTGGTCAGTAATGTGCTCTTTGAAAAGAGTTACAGAAGTAAGAAATTATTTACTCTGAGAAATTTCCATCGAGGAGTCAAAATTGAGAACAACGTATCCATAGTCTTTCTATTCAATTAGTCGACGAACCAGCGGCCAGTGCTGCCAGAGGGTGGCGACCTTGCGGCAGCCTGGCCTCCTGCGAGGTTTGTTTAGCGATTATATCGGATGAGTACACACAAAGCAGCTTCACCTACGAATTCGAGATGTGAAGACTACGGGAGAAGTTTATACAAACGTATACTCGATGTGACCTTGCTTTCGATGTACAGCCTTCCCTGTGTTTCACCAACTATTTATTTACTTTCGTAGAAACTCTTCCGTGTGGCCACCTGCCAGCCCGAGGAGGTCTCACCATAAACTGTTGAATATTTGAAAAAGTCCTGGTAAGGATCTGATGGCAGGCGTAATACCTAAATGCATTCGAACGTTATCGAAGAACGTTGCATAAATATGAAATTTTAGGTGGATCAAACTCCTCTCCTCGAAGACGTAGTGGGACTTCAAAAGGCATGTATCATCTATTTACCGCAGAATGGAACATCAGAATTTCTAATTTCTCGGGTAGATCGATGCAAAGAACCATAATGCACATTATTTTAGTATCCAGAGAGCGTTCGTGCGGTAATCCTTGCACGTGATTCGATAAAATATCGCGATACGTTTCCTGTTAATCTTGCAGGCGAGGTGAAAGGTTCTCTTAAATCATTAGGAGTCCTAACACATACATTAATATCCAGCCGCTGTATCGTGCCATCGAACGAGCAACGGAATGAACGCGTTTTGACGGAATAGTGTAAAATAGAAATTCTCATAAATTTTCCTATCGAGAGAACCAATTTTTCACACTCCACACTCCAGGAATTTTTAAAGTGGGAACGAGGACCAGCGCAAGGTGCACCAGGACGCCAAGTGTTTCGGGGAGCATGTATCAGGATTCGGATGATGCAAGGTACAAATGACGCGGATCTCGTGCCAGTGCGGAGAAAGGTTGAGAGAAAGCTTGCAACGGTGGGTAACAATCATTGCGAATGCTTGCTACATATCGAGAAACAAACTATACTTACAACATTGGTGTGCTATGGTAATGGAAATCGTGGCGAGACAAACTGCTCCGCCATCAGAGGAAACTCCGAGCCCAAATGATCCACGACGAACGCGAATAGAACTTATACAAGGACCGCTTCCTGGTCGACGTTGATCACAGGCGCTCCAAAGCAACCGAGATCCCTAATAATCGCACTACTGGCAGCGAACACAGTCGATCGGCTCGCCTCCATCCCGACGCGATTAAGAGAGAAGAAAGAACTAAGGGAGGAAGAGGGATACCGCGGGGGGAAGCCCACGCGCTTAATTTGCATCTGGAACGACGACGCTGCACGCACCGGTTCCCCTCACGAGTACGGGGCTGTGTAATTAGCGGCGCATAGCAATTAACCGAGAGGAGCGGTCCGTGCGTGCGCGAGCGTTGACCGAGTCGGGACGTTGCGCGGAATGCCCCGTGAAAACGCGACTAGAGACTCCTATTTTCTTCGAACAATGTTAAACGTTGGGTAAACGGTGTAAATGCGAGGGGTGGGAAAGCGGGAGAGCGCTAGGATAAGAAACGACGCCTAAGCGAATGCATCGCGTCGCGATTAATTTCACGCGGTAAGCGCGGTGGCGAAGACACCCGTTTCCTCGGAACAATGTAAACCGGCGTGTAAACGGTGTAAATACGAGGGGTGGGCAAGCGGGCGTGACTGCGTTAAGTCAAGTTAAGTCGAGGTTAACTCCCTTAATTACTCAGATTTAATCAAAGCCCCCGGGGGTGTGTGCGTACAACGAGGTACGGGACATAAACTAACCGAGGAGGAAGAGAAACAGGGAACGAGTTATGGGGGAGGGGAGGCGCGCACGCGAGCGAACAAGAGAGGATACGAGATATGGGACTGCTCGCGACTCTGCTTCACGGTTCCTCGTGCGAGCAGAGGCGTCACGAGCAGCGTCTGGGTCGGTGTTGGACGTCGCTTCTCAGCTGTGTGCGCCGGGCGAAGGCGTCCGCGCGCGATGCGAGTAGAAGGGCCCTGGTCGCTCTGCTCGCTCGCTCGCTCGCTTGCTTGCTTACTTAACGAAGATTAATTGCGCTTAAACCAACCGCGTACGGCCTCGCCACGGCTCCGCTGCTCCGAGGCTCGTTGTTGCCCGCGCATTCTCACGTGACCCCACCGAAATCTTGACCGTGATCGAGGATCGAGCGGCCCCGGTATGCGCGATTTAACCGGCTAACCGCTACGCGCCAAATTTTTGACGCGAGTGTCCACGCCCGGGCTCCCGCCGATCCGCCGATGAAGCATCTCTTTACGCCTACGGGGATCCATTCTTCGCGCCAAAATCTCGAGGAGGTAACATCAATTAAGAAATTCTTGGAAAAACTGCACGTCCACATTTCTCAGGTTTATATATTCTAAAAGGTGTTTAGTCCAGAGGCTTGACTATTGCACTTAATACACATATGACCACGGACTTTACACATGCTTATTACGCAAACAAGGTTTAAAAAGTATGAGCGTACGAATATCAATCCATACTGTCAAATTACTTTTGAAATACGGCGCGTACTTCGCACGAAAGTCTGTCGTTGTTGCACGCCCTCGCCTCGTGAGGCAGGAAAAGGAGAGGGGGGAGGATGCATTTTGAGGGCCACGATTAGCCACAGCCGCGAATGCTGCTCTCCTCTTGGCCTTAGTTTTAAGCAACGTGATTTATACGGTTAAATGAGATGCCGCGTTGAGCCGGCGTGTCCGGGACGCGCGCCGCTGGAAGAAAAATGATCGGGATCGCTGTGATGAAGATTAATGGCGATTAATCCGGGCGACTGTGATCGGAGATAATCGTTAAGTGACTCCACGAAATCTGATCCTGCCCGTGAAACTCCCTGTGCAGGAGTTTCATTTGCGCGGAGCGAACAAGTATGGAGAGGTTGCACTCTCTCGTAATTTCTTCTAGAAATTTAATTTTGAATATTTATTTACCATTACTGTGGTTATGTCGCACATCCCTTATCTCGTTCTTCTTTGATTACCCTATTTGGATCCAATTATATAATTGTACACTCGAAGATGACTCGACTAACACGAAAAGTAAAATTTAAAAAATCTTCAATGCGAACTGCGTTAAAATTTCAAGTACGAAAGTGTTTAATTAAAAGTGTAAACGTCAACATCCTCCAGAATAGATAAAAATAATCCTGCGCTTTGTAACGTGTCGTTAAATATTCCAGGCACAAAGACGTAATTATTCCCGGCGCAATTACGTAATCTTCGCGCCAGATCTTTTCACGGGCATAAAATTGCGATTAATTTACACCGGGGAGAGCGCGCGTTATCAATGAATCGTGGCTGCTCGGATGAACGAAAAGGAGAAAGGAAGGAGGAAAGTAAAATAGCCAGTTCTGTATAGGTGCTAGGTAACGTCTCCGCGATAACAATCGCGCCGTGGTAGGGGGTGGTGGATGAAGGTTGAAGGTGTAGGTGGAGGAGGGCAGCGGCCGACCCGGGGGCCGCTTTTGTTGTGTATAAAATATTATTTCGCCGAGGCCGGGCATTCATTCGGTAGGAGCTTTCCTTGAAAGGCGAGCTCAAAGATTAAGGACTGGTTGGACGGTAGGATAATTATCAAGAAAGAAAGAATTCTGAAAGCGCGGCTCACCGAGACAAAGATTGGGGATGGAGTATCTTGACCAAGTTCTTTCTTCTCACCTTCCGTCTCTCTCCTCCCAACGTCCTTCTTTTAAGTTTCATTACTGCTCTGCATCCCGGATGCATGCATTGATTTCATCTACCTTCCCCCCTTCGTCGATGGTTCGATTTGCTATCGTTGTTAACCCCGGAGTGCTCTACGAGCTCTGCAGATCCGAGTGGTCGTTTAGTCTCCTACACACATCTATGAATATCAAGCTGTACTTCGTGTATCGCGAAAGTCACCAATTGTCATAAAATACCAACGGGCCACTCGTGTTTAACAAAGATAAGTTTTGGACCGGAGCGACCACAATTTTTCGCCAGAGTCCCGAAGGGTTAATCGTCGGAAAACTCGTCGGGCAACAAAGGAGATTAAAGCGTCGACGATAAAATTCGCCTTCGGTAAATTGAACTTTCTTCCCCTTTTTGCCAGCCGCTGGCGGAATATTAAAATAAATGACGGTAGATATCCCGTGATTATACTTTGTTATTGGAGTGCGCGGGCCGTGCTCCTTCGCGACCGAATATCGCGGTAACAGCTGCCGCGTTGAACGGGCCGAGGCTAATAAGGGTGAGGGGGATAATTATACGACGGCTAATTGCCCGACATCTCGACTCGCCGCGAGACATAACGAAATAATCTCGTGGCTCCCACCCCCCCTAACCTCTTATCCACTTCGGTTCTTTTCCTCTCCGCCTGTATTCTTAACCGAGAAGCCACCCCCGCAAGGGATTCTTTTCTCTCGGTGAAATTAATTCCCGCTACGCGAGACTGGAGGTTAAAGGCGCGCACTTGATGAGCTTGCTTAGTCACTGTTGCTTCTTTATTGCGAGCGAAGAGAAAAATTCTGAATATTTACGATTGCGCTGATTAATGTCGGACGAGGATTGCAATTCCAACGGGGCAAAACGCTACTCTCAACGGGAACATGTAGATTGCGCTGTGTTCGATAAAACGTTGTGAAAGAGTGTAATCCGACGTCGTTTCGCGACGCAATAAATCTTCTCGGGGTAAATTGCGATAGAGGGTTTATTTGTTTCTCGTTGGAGAAACGATTACAGGAGTTTCACTCGAAAAATGAAATCTCTAATGTTGAATCTTTTATCCTTCAGTTAGGAACGAGTGATATCGCAAATTTACAGATACCAGCTTCTAATTTACACTGTCCAAGGTCTCGCGGCACGCAAGTCGAGGCTTTCCCTCGCTGCGTTCCGGAGCGGCACGCTCGAATCCGCCTGGGGAGGGTTTCACGTGCAGAAATGCAGAGAGCCGTCAGCAATTTCGCGAGAAACGATTCTCCCTCCTTCTCTGTTCCCCGTCCCGTTGCCCCGAAAGGACTCCGGGACGCGCATTCGCTGGCATTATAATCACAGGGTTCGCGATCACCGTGGAGGAAGAGGAGGTCTGAGGTGGAAAAGGGGAAGAAAGGCACCTCCACCCGAGAGGATCATTTTCGCGGCGATAATTAGGCGCCGGAGTCGCGCGGTCGCACCGGTTACACGATGAAAAATAACGAGGAAATGATTGCGGCGAGGAATCCGCCTAAGGAGCTGGGTCAATTTTGACTCGCGCTCTTTTGTGCCAGGCTTGGGATAATTAAAAAGGGAGAACAATTGCGCGTGGGTATTATATTATATTGGGTCAAACACGATCCAACTTCGCTTGAAAAGCAAGAAAGAATAAAAATAAGCGAAGAGACAGAGTAGCCAGGAGTAGAGGAAGGTTCGCAGAAGAAATGGTGGCGGACCGTGATGAAGAGGTCTTAGGGATGCTATGCGATCGTCCTGCGGTGGCTCGAGGTGATGACGAAGATGGTGGCGCAAGGAGGAAGAAGTTAATTAAGTAATAAAAAGTTACCAGCCGTGAGGTTTCCCGGGGACGAGCCCCTGACGGGGTGAAATTAAAATAAACATCCTTTAAATGAGTCGCAGCCACGGTAACCACCCCCGCTTAACTACATCCGCTAATTAATTCCAGGCCTGTGAAACCGAGAGGAACAAAAACCTTCGGGTGGAGAGAGCCTGAATTCTGTCCTGGTGGAGGAGCGAAATGGGGCTCGGCGGAGGGTGAAGGAATGGTGTATTAAACACCGCGAAACCAGCCGCCGCCTGACTCTTTAATTAGCCACCCCTAAAGTACCGCCGGGAGTGTCGAGGGTCGGTGTCGAGCAACAGGTGAGATGCAAAGCAAGGGTTATTCTTGGCTTTAGAGCTTCGAGAGGCCGCGGAGGGTGAGTGGGCAGCACCGTATCGTGAATGCACCGTTGCCCCAGGTCGTGGTTCGGAGATATTACAAAGAGATAACAGCGACGAGGTGCGGAGGCAAGTGTCGCTGTTTGTCTTCCATTGCTTGCCTCTTCTGTTCTATTTATTGCAACGGCGAGAATTTTATCCAGAGTACTCTGAAGACGTACTTCAACCTGTATTGCAATTAGTGCAACCACTTGCTCTTTAATAAACCAACAGATAGACAAGACAGTATTTATCCAATTTATTAAGTGGATTAAAAATTTTATTAACCCATTCTTTATCGTATTTATAAGACATTACAAAGAATGTTATTTTAGTACACTGAAACCACAACATTCAAAACATTAATTTTGATAAAGACTTGCTATGCAATAGCAAGGGCTGATTATATTGCCAAAGTACAGTTCTGTATATACATACGTATAGCTACTGAAATCT